TCCCCTAGAACTGGACCTTCTGCTTAAAGCCTCCTTCTCATAAGGATGTTTCTGCTGCTGTGCAACCCAAGCCACACTTGCTGTAGTGTCAACCCATCACATATTGGATGATACAAAGGGGAGTTAGCTGACCTCACCTGAACAATGTCAGACACAGACACACACACACACACACACACAAAAGCATTCCATTGAACGAACTGCTATCAGAGATGGAAAAATTCTGGGCTCAGTTGGAGTCCCCATCTGACAGGTCTGGAGATGAACGGCTTTGACCAAGGCCATATGTTCAATGAGAGGCAGAACCAAGACTTTTGTCCCTTGCTTTCCAGCCTAGTGCTTTCTGGCTATGTCTTGTGCTGGAGCACTGCCCCAGAGCCAGGTGCAAGAAATGCGCATCTGGACATCCAACAAGGTGCTGCTGCCTCCCCGTGCCTCCTCAAATCAGGCAGAGTCTTGGGTGCTTCACCCTGGGCCTGTGCACTTCTTTCTTGCTCTTTCTCCAAAGGTAGGGGATGACCATTCTGAACTGGAGGAGTGGATGAAGTGTTCCAAGAGTGCTGACAGTAAATTCCCATCGAGGGGGGGAAAGGACCATTAAAGGATATCAGGACAATTGACAAGAACTGAATGCAGACCCTGCATTAAATAGTAGTATTGGTTCAATGTTAACTGTCCTGATTTTAGTAACTGCATTGTGGTTATGTTCTTAGGAGATACACAATGACATATTTAGAGGTCAAGGGCATGATGTCTCTAATTTATTCATAAATGATATCTATATACCTACATGATGCATGGTGAATATATATGAATATATACATAGCGTGCATACATATGTATGAATACCTGATAAACGGTGAATATATCTATATGAATTCATACATAGAGAATGCGAGGACACTGGGAAAAAATGTAAATAATTGGTGGATCTCAGTAATGGGTACATACAAGAGTTCCTTATACTATTCTTGCAACTTTTCTATAAATTTGAAATTATATCAAAATAAAGTTATAAAAAAATGCCTCTTGAGAGGCATGCAGCAAACACCGTGACAGGTCTCAGGACCCAGCTGTCACTCTCCTTGTCCCCCCAGCTCTCAGGGCAGCAGACTCCTGCCCTGCTGTGGCCCGGGGGCAGCACTTGCCCAGGCTTGTGTGGACTGCACGAAGTACAGCTCTGAGACCGGCAAGGCACAGTGCTGCAGCAGGAACATGGATCAGGGTTGTCCTCACAGTTCCAGATCTTACCAGCTGTCAGACCCTGGGCAGGACAATCTAGCTCTCTGAGGCTCAGTTTTGCCCATCTGTAAGATGAGAGCTACTTGTAGCTCAGTTGAATGAGACCTGCCTGAAGTGATCTGTGACTAAGCGCCTTAGAGGATGCCTGCTGCACGGGGGCTCAGTAGACACTAAGTGAGCACCTGAGTGGGGGGCCTCACAGCATCCCTTCCAGTGGGATCCTCCCTCCAGTGCTCCAGCAATGTCATCATTTCGCTTCAAACCACACTCCTCTCTCCTTCATAACCTGGCCCAGAGTTTCCCTGGTCCCAGGGGGAAACGACCACTCCTCATTCCTGTACTTGGGAGTTAGTGTCTGGCAGGTTAGCTTGTACTTCTGTCTGTGTTCTCTCACCCTGCTACCTGGCTTGGCAGATGGAACTGGCTTTTCCCTCATGGTCCCCAGCAGCACTCCCAAGGGCCCTCAGGCCATTGTGCGGACATGTGCCCTCTACTCTTATACCTGACAACTCACACACAGGACTGACCAACACAGCTGGGGGTGGGAAGAGGTCATCCAGGAAGGGATCTGGCTATGATCTGTTTGGCAAGAAAACCACTTGGCCTTCCCTCGATTACTGGCAGGAGAAACGGACTTCCTGGTTAGATTAGGTACTTCCCAGCCCTTGAAAAAAATGAACACATGTTATAGCCAGACAGCTCAGAGATAAGAGAATCAATCTGGGCTTTCTCATGGGATCAGAGATGTCTGGGACCAGGGATGGCCATGCTAAGAGAAAAAAGGCAAGTTGCAGAGGTGTCCAGGTTACGTGCTGTATTTACATAAGTATGTGTAAGTGCATAGAAAAAGAATAATTGTGACTATATTTGAGGAGGTGAGTGGAACTGGGGGTAGATTAAAGAGGGCTTTCATGTTGCACCTGGTGTATTTCTATACTGTTTAGAATGTTTTAAAGAAGAATGCATGCATATTTAATTTATGTAATTAATAAATAATACAAATTAGCCCAACAAGTGAGAAAAGAATTGGGGGTACAGGCCTAAAAGACACCTCCTTCATTTCCTATCTCTGAGCAGCTGTCTTCTTAGGAGCCTCTGGGAAGGAAGCCCCATGGTGTTCAGGAGGCACCCAGAGAACTCTACAGGTTTCTGAAGGACACGAACACAGGTATGTAAGCAGGTGGAGGGGCCACCAGAACCACCCGGCTAATGTCCTCAGTGCCCAGCGGGTGATGTGTTGGGGTGACGAGAGGTTGGGTGGATGGGCCATTCAAAGTGGTCATTACTGTACACGGAGACACACATTTCCATCCCCTTGGGGGGTAAGACATCTGTCTGTAACTGCAAGACAAAGACTAGAGTAAAATTCCCCTTCCACAGACAAGTAGCGTCCTCTGGACTTAATCTAGATATGGATGTATTTGTTTGCTATGGAAAGGGAGACCAGCACTTTCTGCCAGCCAGCCCCTCTCCCTAAGCAGTGCCACTGACTGAGCCCCACTTCCCACTCACTCTGTAGGGGTAAGAACCTTGGCTTCCAGCTCTGCTTCCAGCATCTTGCTCCTTCCTTAAAGAGTAGAGATTGTGGGCTGGTGCCAGAGATACTCTGAGGACCTGGGCATGAGGGCTCCTAAGGCAGTGCCACACTGAACAGAGGCAGTAAGGGAGGCCCCCTCTGTTTCTGAAGACCAACAGTGTGGGCACAGGGTGCTTCTAGGCTTCCAGGCTGACCTACCACACCCTGGAATAGCTTAGAGGCTTGAACAAGTACTGAAGCCTGGATCCTACCTCTGGAGATTCTGATCTAACTAGGCTGGGTTGCCCCAGCAGCAGAGGTTTTAAAAGCTCCACAGGTGTGTCTAATATGCAGCTGGGGTTGAGAGCCACCACCCCAAGTCAGATGATGACAACTTGTTCGGTGTGCCCCACAGCCCTCTCTCCCCCAGCGCAAAGGCCCAGCTCCCGGGGCTGCTCACTGTCCCCAGCTTGTTTTCTCCTTCACAACCTTCCCCTGGACCCCACCTCACTGTCCCCAGGATCTGCCTGTAATGGATGTGCCAGAGCTGAGGGCAGCAGGCTGCTGATGGCCCGGCTCAAAGTCCATGCACTCCTGCCTCTGCCCTCAGGAGAGGCGAATGACTGCATCGGTCCCTAAGTCACAACCACCTGGTGCTCTTCGAAGCTCCCATTTTGCCGTAACTAACAGAGCATGGGTCCAAGTGATCCTCTTGGAAAATAAAATCACCAACCCATTTTTACTGGGTTTTTCTTATAGTTATATACGCATTTCCAGCAACTTATTAAAGGTCTACTCCCGATACTCTGAGCTCCCCACTTTGGTTAAATATCCACTAGACATTATAATTCCAATTTGGCTGCCCCAACATACTGAAGGCTGAGCATCCCCCTGGCAGCTGGCTGGAGTATGCACAAGGAACCCAAGCTCATCATTAGGAGGGTAAATATGCAGCTTTGAAAAGAGGAGAATAAGGGGCACCCGGGTGGCTCAGTCAGTTAAGCGCTGACTCTGGATTTCGGCTCAGGTCATGATCTCATGGTTTGCGACTTTAAGCCCTGCACTGGGCTCCGTGCTGTCTAGTGCAGAGCCTGCTTAGGATTCTCTATCCCTCTCTCTTTGCCCCTCCTCCTCCTCCTCCTCTCTCTCTCTCAAAATAAATAAACTTAAAAAAACACAAATAAAAATTTAAAAATATGTATGTATATGCACACATAACTTATATTTTACAACTGCACTGGTATAAAGATGAATATATTAATATTGTGAATTAAAACATTTTCTTTGACCCAAAAGTTTATTTTCTTCTAATTCTATAAGATATTGAGATATTTTTGTGGGGTGTTGTGCCTGATACATCAGTGGGCCCTGGGGGAAGGTGAGACCAGGGAGAGGGAGACACTTTGTAGAGTCACACAAGTCCTTCCTTGCACAGCTATTTATACCACAGCTGCAACTCTTGCACCTCCCTCTACGAGCAAGGCCGGGTCCCTCTATGAGCAAGCCCCGGCATCCCGGAAGCCCCAGGGGCAGCCCTCAGGGGACTCACAGTGGAGGAGGGGTGAGCCACAGACACATCACCAGACACTGGGCAGCAGACAGTGGCAGCAGGGAGGTGCTGAGTGCTCCGGGAGCACACAGGAAGGGTTACTTGCAGCTGGGGCAAGGACAAACTCAGGGATGACGCGGCTTTTCAGCGGGAGTCTGTCCCATGAAAGAGGTGTCTCACAGAGAGAGGTGCTCCCAGAGCAGAGGCATGATGGAAGCGGCACGGGCACTTCCATCGCACATGGAGGAGCTCGGGCTGGCCTGAGCATAAAGTAAGGAGACAGGAGTTGGGGGCAGACTCGGAAAGAAAGGCTAGACCACACGTCAGGACAAGTGTGCACAAGTGCAATGTCTGTGAGGCCCACTTGAATGGGACTGGTAGGCATTGGGGACCGCTGGGCACCGCAATCAGGAGTGATGAGAGCAGAGCCACGGTTTGGAAAGCTTCTGCCCAGCAGGACTCACCTGGGAGAGATCAGGAGGAGGAGTCTTGGTGAGAAGCACAGAGGGCCTGAGTGAGGTGGCGAGTGGACGTGGGTATGCACCACTAAGGCTGTGCAGAGGCTGGGAGAGGCGGGCAGTGCCAAACGGCCACTGGCCCAGTCACCAAGGCTTCACGGGGTTCGCTGGGGTGCAGGCAAGGAAGCTGGGGCTCAGTCCTGGGGTTGCCTAGGAAAGCTGAGCAAGTACTTACTCTCTGTTCCTAGCACTGGGGGAAGAGAGCTCTTGGGCCTCCGGGCTTTCATCTCCGGGGCCTTGGCATTCTCCCTGGCAGGAGCATCTGGAACAGAACAGGTAATGACGGACATTAGTTGGCTGCTGCCCAAGGAAATGAACAGAGGAGGTGTCTCAATAAAAATCCCACCCCAACCAAAATTACAGCACCCCCCCGGCTCCTCTTTCCACTCTGGGGGCCCTCTGTGCCTGCCGAGCAGACGGCGCCTGCCTCGGGCACCTTCCTCCACCGGAGCACCAAAGAAGGAGCGTGCGCGCACTCCACTGCGCCTTATAAATCAGGTGGAGAGAGCAGTCACCCAGGCAAGATGGATGGACAGGCTATGCTGGGAGCTATTATGCATTCCCCTGCATGGCAGGCACGGGCTGCCAGGAATCACATCACTGGCAGGGTCGGAGGAGCGGTGGCACCCCTGTGCTCACTTCTCTCCCATCTTTTCCCTTCACTGGGTCTTTACTCGCTGGCGCTAACGGCTCTGTATTTCCAAAAGCCTGCTCTGTATAGAGAGGTCTCTCCGACAGAAGAAAGAGGGGACAGGGTCCATGCCTCAGCTCATGGTCTGGAAGGGGCCTGCACCTTCTGATTTCCCAGACTTCTTTCTACAGATGGTCACTGACAGACTTTAAGACCAGATGAAGGCCTCTGAGCAGGCAGCCGGCATGCCTCACCCCCTCTGGACTGAGCCTTGGACCCATTATGGGAGTCTGTGCACTCCTCCTCAAAGTGGATCCAATGAAACCGAGCCTTCTGGGTGGACCTGAAATGGCACATGGATGAGTGCACAATGCCTTGGTCCTCTCTTCCATGTTCCCTATTCCATTTTAACGTTGAGTGTGGACATCACCACACTCTCTCCCTTGTTGGGGCAGAAGAGTAACATCACACTAGGCTGGGTGGTCAGAAAGGGCCCTACTGGGCCCCAAGGAGACTAGACTTCAGGAAGCTTTGGGGAAACCACCCAGGAACTCGGATAAGAAGGAGCTGGTTAAACAGCTATCACTGTGCTCCAGCATTTTCCCCACAAGGAATTCTCCTCAGGGATGTGCTGAGAGGGAGCCTCCCTGTCAGAGTCCCTTCCTGCCATTCATTTTCTGGCTCCTGAAGACAGGAAACTCAAAGGGAGGAAGGAGGGGGTGGGACTTTCCAGCTGAAGCTTGAACCACATTCCTGTGGCTTGGCTAGGGAGGAAGGGCCATCTTGCTGTCTTGCCTCCTGGATGGGGCAGTCCTAGCTGCTAACACATGCCCTCTCCCAGACTGGTTCCTGGGGCTTTGTGTGGTGGACACAGGTTGCACAGAACTAGGGCCTAGGGATGAACACTTCCCTAGCACACGGTCTCCTGATGCTCCCATCTGGATGCACTGCTCCTTCTAGATGGCATTTGGGTCTCATTTCTGCTTCAGAAGGTGGATCAGCCCGTATAAATCCTCCCACAAAGAGTCAAGCTTCCTTCCTAACCTAAAGCCTGCCCACTCTCAGTTCTAGCAGGGTATTTCAGGAAAGGAGGCCCGGTGTGGGCATCGTCCAAGCTCACCGGCAGCTCCGAGGCACACAGGCCTCTGGGGCTACGGGGGCAACTCCCTACTGAAATCAGCCAAAGCTGTACACATGTAACTACAGGAATGGTTGTGCGTAGGCCTCATGAAGAGCTTCCTAGCAGTATATGGCAGGGAACAGTGCTGAGGGAACCAAGCTGGAAGCCCTACCCTGCCTCCACTATTCTCCTTCTGCCACATTCTATAACAGCAAACAGAACCCTACATGGTGAGTCAGGGGTCCATGCCTTCCGTCGCTGACACTGCCTGTGTCCTGTCTCCTCAGTGGCCACCCACACACCAGGTTCCATGTGAATACAGATGGAGAAGCAGAAAGTCCTGTGGGGAGGGGATGATTTCACTTCCTCACACTGGGTATTTTCCCCTGGCCTAATGGTCATTCTCAGCTACAGAAAAATCCTCAGTATTTGTCAACTTGTGTGGTTCTCAGCATTGGCTGCCCATTAGAAGCAGCTGTACATAGGTGTCTCACCCTGTAGATCCTGGTTTAATTGGTCTGGTTAGGGCCTGGGTGTCCATATTATCCAGAAGCTCCACAGATGACTTTCATATGTCACTCCCAGTCTGTGTGTGACATAGGCCGTGTGTGTGTGTGTGTGTATGTGTATTTGTATGCACATGTGTGTACGTGCCTGTGTGTCTGAAGGTGGGCATGCGGTACATGGAGGGTCTCTGGGACTATTCTGAGAGACAGGAACACCTATCGTTGTATCTCTTGATGTCTGGGGACTAGGGTACCATCAACCAGGGTGTAGCAGTCTATGTTTCTTTCTTCCCTTCCTTCAAGACCTGATAGGCACCAATGACAATTTACAGGAAGGTACACTCCAAAGTGTGTTTGTTTTCCCCTTTTTTAAAGAAGAAGAAGAGACAGCCAAGAGTGTACAGAGCTCTGTGCTTCTTGGCTTGAATACTCTCTCTGCCCATCTTTCTTCTGGTGAGTTCTGGGGACATCGCAGGAGAAAGGTGAAGAAGGATCGGGATTGCTTTGTTTTTTTGTTTTTTGTTTTTTTTTAAACTGGTGTGTAACTTGAGGCATAAGCAAGCCAAGGATGAGAGGCTGGTCTTCCTGGGTTCCTAAGGAAGGGACACAGGGACGGAGATTCCTTCTCTCCTCGTGGGGTCGCATGGGCCTTTGCTTCTAAGCGGCATTAGAGTAGAGACCGGGGAGGAGGGTACCAGTTTTGGCTTTGTCATTAGCAATCTTGGGATCATGAGCAAATCATGTCAACTGCCCTGGGTCTCTATTTCCACACCTGTGCAAAGGAAAGTACACTTATTCCTTCTACCATAGTGTTAAGATGCTCAAAGGAGAGAATGTAGTCAGTAGTGCTCGGGAAAGGAGAAAAATGATCATGTACCTATTAATTCATTCCTCCTGCTCACCACATTTCCTCAGCTCCCTCCCAGTCTGCTTTAAAATTCTCCACTTTCGGGGCGCCTGGGTGGCGCAGTCGGTTAAGCGTCCGACTTCAGGCAGGTCACGATCTTGCGGTCCGTGAGTTCGAGCCCCGCGTCGGGCTCTGGGCGGATGGCTCAGAGCCTGGAGCCTGCTTCTGATTCTGTGTCTCCCTCTCTCTCTGCCCCTCCCCCGTTCATGCTCTGTCTCTCTCTGTCCCAAAAATAAATAAACATTGAAAAAAAAAAAAAATTAAAAAAAAAAAAAAATTCTCCACTTTCAAAAGCCCTGCCTGACCAGCCCCCACCCGCATGTTTCCCGCCTCCGCATCTGTATTCAGCTTTTGGGTGCTGGCTTTTACACTGACGTGTGAGTGCACTACCCTGTCATGTGCTTTGAGCTTTGTTTTTAGAAGTTCTGTGTACTTTATCTTTCCATCTGACCATGAGGAAAGGGGCTCAAGTTTCCCTTTCAAACCAGGCACACCTCCAGACTTGGAGCCCCCCCAGGGGTGGGACTGAGTCCCCACTTCCCTCAGTCCTCCTGCCCCATGGGGGCTGTGTGTGCGCCAGTAGCCACCGGCCCTCTGTGAGGGCTGCAGCAAGGGGTGGGCTGGAAGGACCACGTGCTTAATCAGAACCAGCTCTGTGCTCACATGGATGCCCAGGGGATAAAAATAATAGTAATACAAGACTAAGAGCAGCTTGTATTTTCTATTTTAATCAGTTTGTGATGAAATTGAACTCCATTTCTAGATCTCGGCCCCAGGGCTGGAGTCCATTGCTGGCCGGGTTGTGCCCCCAAAGAAGGATGGGAAGATGGAAATATAGGGAGGTGGGGGGCCTCTACATAGGGAGGAAAATGTGTCCTTATATGGACAATACCTCACCCCCATCCACTCCTGGGCTAGCTCTGGACCTGACCCTTCAGGGCGGCATTTTTGCTTCTGTCTTCCCCAGGAGGTTGGTTCCCTGAATTACAAGCCTAAGGCAGGGGGAGTGAGGTCTTGGGAGGCTTCTGGGGGTGGGAGGGGGTCCAGCGTCCAGGAGCTCCACCAGGGGGCAGAGGGGGTGGCCTCTTTCTCTGCCCGAGGGCAAGCAGCAAGCTGGCTCCATCAGAAGACCGGGTGCTCTAGTCAGGAAAAGAGCTCCTTGCTGGCTCTACTCTTTGGGGCCTATGAGTCCTTGGGCAAGTTCCCTGAACTTTTTTGAGCTGACGTTCACCAGGAAAACAGGAGTAACACCCCAACAGAGTAAATGAGATGTAAAGTAACAGTGGGCATTCACTGGGTGACTTAGCCCATGCCTGGCACGATGCTAAGTGCTTTGTCTACTTGTTTCACGTGGAACCGTATCATTTGCCAATATTCAACCGTCTTTGGCCTACTGGGGAAGCAGTTTTATTCAGTTCAATTGAATGCAAGTTAGCTGCCTGTGGTGACATGACGGACAAATGTGAAAGTGGGAGCAGACTTGTGAATGTGGCAGGAAGAAGGGTGCATGGCTATCAGCTCAGGCACAGTCAGAGGTTCCTGATGGCCATGGTGGCAGTTAAGCGTGGTAGTTAGGAGCCAAGGCTTGTGTTTAAATTCCCACCCAGTTAGTTATTAGCTGCATGGACTTCAGCAGGCCCCTCGGTCTCTATATGCCTCAGTTTGGGCTTTTTTTACTATCGCTCCGCTAACCCCCCTTGTCACAGCCACAAAACCCCTTTGAATCGCTAAAGCTGATGGTCTCAGGCTCATCCTGTTCTCAGGGGCAGCACCTGACACACTGATGTCATCATTCCTTCCTTATTCAAATGGCTGTCATTTGGCTTCTGGGGCACGCCTCTCTCCTGGATTTCTTCCCGTCCCACTGTGGCCATTCCCTCTTGGTCTCCTTCCCAGACCTCTGTCCTGCCCTACTCCTCCTCCTCCCTACTCCATCCACATCCACCTTAGGGACCTCATTCAGTCCCAGAACATTCAGTGGCCTCTTATGTGGACAGCTCCCCTACCCTGCCTCCAACCCTGACCTCCTTACTCAACTCCAGGTTCACCTAAATGCCTGCCTATGTGATGTGCCCACCTGGACGTCTAACGGACATCT